TGGGATTTTTCAAGTGTCCAGCAGGCAAGGGTTCTGACTACTGATCACTTGTTTAAAATGTTTGTGCTGGTAATGAGTCTTCAGAAGAAACCTTCTGCCTTGTGGGTCTGTTGTGGAATCAGCCGAAAGTCGGTTTCTCCCTTAGCTGCTGGTTGCTGAGTCAGGGGCCTCCTAGCTTGGCAGTGCTGCACGCGTGCTGGAGCATTGATGGCGGGTCTCTGTTGTCCATGGTTCCCATTCATTCTTGAAAATGCTGAGAAAATAAAAATATTCAGACTCGGAGATGGAAAGTAGAAAAGTTGATTGAAAAGTCAAAGAGAAAAGTCAAAGAGAAAGGAAAAGGAACCCCCCATGTGGAGAGGAACTTAGTGAAAGACTAGGTTAAAAGGGAGTTTTGTGTGGGGTCTTCTAAAGGCTCCACATTTCTTACCAGTTGGCAAGTGTTTACAAAATTGCAGGAAAATCACAGGGAGGTCTCGAAGGCCCAAGTCTCCCGGGGCGTCATTGCCCCTTATCTTAGTTTCCTGTAAGCTGAGGCCACAGGGCAGCGTTTTATGATCCTGGGAAACTCCAAGAAGGCTGAGGCAGGGCCTTAAGAATGAGATGTGTGTCAGGTTGGTGGGGGAGAGATGGGACATCTGGCAAGAGGAAACTGGCTTCCTCTCTCACTGGCAAGGGAAAACTGAAGCTTCCTCTTTCAGTAGTCAGATAAGATGGAGTCTGCTTGATTCACACCAGGGTCCACACAGATGGAATACTTGCCTTTTTAAAAGAACCAAACCTCTAAATCAAAATAGGATGTATTGTGAAATAGGCTGTTAGCAACAGCATGCTCAGGGAAGTGCAGAACCTCGCTTTTACAGGAGCAGAGGGAAGCTCAGAGACTTGCATTTCCACAACTGCCATTGGGTGTTTGGGATTTTCTCTGTGTTTTGTTTTGTTTTGTTTGGGGATCCACCTGGTGGTGCTGAGAGGCTCCTTCCAGCAATGTGCTCGAGCATCACTTCCAGGGGTCCAGGAGTGGGGAGCAGGGGACTGTGCAGTGCCAAGGATCAAACCCAGGCCTCCCACATGCAAAGCTGGAGTCTGGTCCCAGTGATACAGGAACAGTGGGTTCAGTGCCCAGGAACCCTGGTGGGTTGATGAATGTATGTGCTGGAATAAGTGTACCAGATCCCAGGTTTAAAGGGGCACGTGGCAAAGAAGACAAAAATAGTCCCCGGCTAGGTGGGGTCTCACAGATGGATGACAGAGAGAAAGCCATGGACGGATGGAAGCCTGAGGTTACACGGGAATAAAGAAACTCATGTGAAGCGGAACAAGGGAATCCTCTTCAACAAGTGGTGCTGGGAAAACTGGACAGCTATCTGCAAAAAAAAAAAAAAAAAAATGAACTCTGACCTCTGTCTAACGCCAGGCACAAAAGTCAGAGAAAAGTAGATTAAAGACCTCAATATTAGACCTGAATCTATAAGATACATGGGGGAAAATGTAGCCAGAACCCTCCATAACATTGACGCTAAAAGCATCTATAAGGATGAAACACTTCTGACGTGGAAACAACCATAAACAAATGGGACTACATTAAGAAGCTTCCGCACCTCAAAAGAAACAGTGACCAAAATACAGAGAGAGCCCATGGAATGGGGAAGAATATTTACCCACTACCCATTTGATAAGGGGTTAATGTCCAGGATATACAAGACACTATTAGAAGTGTACAAGAAAAAAAACTCCAAGCCCATCAAAAAATGGGGAGAAGAAATGAACAGAAGCTTCCCCAAAAAAGAAATACAAATAGCCAAAGGGCACATGAAAAAATGCTCCCCGTTGCTAATCATCAGTTGTAGAGCCTCTTTTCTTGGATGAATACTGGACACTAGCAGTGACTTCATTCAGACTCACATTTAAAATGGAATCTTAGGGTTTTGGGGATGTCATTTAGCTGTAGATGTCATTTGCTTCATGTGTAAAGCCCTGGGTTTGATCCCCAACACCACAAAATAAATACAATAAAATGTCACTTTTTAAATGTGACTCCATAGACAATGCGGCTCCTTGGAAAAGCTCATGCTTTTCATGCGTGAGGCCCTGGGTTTGATCCCCAGCACTGTGCCCCCCCCCAAAAAAAAAACAAGAAAGAGTGTGGCCGATTAAGTATTATTCAGTACTAATCTAAAAGGAAAAAAAAAGAAAATGCAGGTTATAAAAAAATGAAAAGGGTTGTAAAAATCCAAAATACAACTGATGGGAGGTGGAGGTTCTAAAGAAGAGAACTTAGTGAGGACCACAGCACTGGAGCACTGTCCTCCCATTGTTCATCGATTCTCTTGAGCGGGCACCAGTAACGTCTTCATTATGAGACTTGTTGTTACTGTTTTTGGCATATCAAATACGACACAGGGAGCTTGCCAGGCTCTGCTGTGCGGGCGGGATACCCTCGGTAGCTTGCTGGGCTCTCCGAGAGGACGAAGGAATCGAACCCGGGTCAGCTTTGTGCAAGGCAAACGCTGTTCTATTGTTCCGTGGTAGAAAAAATAAAGTTGAAATGCTGAGAATTTCCCAGACATGAAAAATAAAGTCGAGGATTTTCCAGATATGAAAAACAGTCCTGAATTGTCCAAGCAAAGGAGCCCTCCAATAAGAAGCAGCCAAGAGCTCTGGGGAGGTGGGTTTCCCAAGAGACTGCAGCCCACACCGCAGGCAGGAGGCCTGGATTCAGCCCCTGGCACCACTGGGTCCCCCAAGTCTCACCCAGAACAGTCCTAGGGCACAAAGCTGAGAACAGCTCCTGAGAAATACCAGTGTGGCTCCCATAAAACAAAACCAAAAAAAAAAAAAATCAGAAAACAGAGGAGACAGGTATGTGTAAGCTACAAAGCATCAAAGAAAGAGAAAATCCCAAGTCACCAAAGCTAAGAACAGAGCTACAATTATTGGACAGCCTTTCTGTCAACAGTCGTGCCCAAGCGAGAAGAGCCTGAAATAACTGAAGAAAATTAGCCAGAGATTTAGACCCAGCTCAGCTGTTTTTCAGGAGTCACTCACAATCACAATCACGACCATCCTGTTGTTCGTCGATTGCCTCGAGCAGGCCCCAGTAACGTCTCCTTCATCCTATCCCTGAGATTTAAAAAAGTGCCATATTCAAGGCTCTTTCAGGGTTAGGAGAATGAGACCCATCATTGTTACTGGTATTTGGCATATTGGGTACGCCACGGGGAGTTTGCCAGACTCTGCCATGTGGGCAGGTTACATTCAGCCTGCCAGGTTGTCCAAAGTAGGAATGAGATAATAAGATGTCTTCTGGGAGCTGGGTTTTATAGTCTCTGAGTCTTGGTCGTTGATGGGATTACACGGCGTCAGGAGTGAGGAATTAAAACATTTTCAGAGAGAACCAGACACAGAATGATCTTACTCCTAAGCAGGATATAAAGAAACATAATGGATAACAAATCTCCAAAGACAATGGAAACAAAGGAAATGAGAACTGGTCTTCACTAGGAATCAGGCCACTTGAGGGGCTGGGGGGTAAGACAGGAACCAGGTATGTCTGTGGTGGAGGGAAGCATTCAACCACTGCCTGGGAATCGGGCTGGAAGGTGGAAAGCGTTGTCTATGAAACCCTGTCAGCAGCAGTGTTGTAAACCACAGTGTCAAACCTTTATATATATATATATATATATATATATATATATATATATATATATCTCACTATCACTGTCCTCCTGTTGTTCGATTTTGCTCGAGCGGACCCAGTAACGTCTCCATTGTGAGACTTGTTGTTACTGTGTTTGACATATTGAATTTGGCATGGGTAGCTTGCCAGGCTTTGCCGTGCGGGTGAGATACTCTTGGTAGCTTGCCGGGCTCTTCAAGAGGGGCGGAGGAATCGAACCTGGCTCTGCAGGGCTGGCTGCATGCAAGGCAAATGCCCTACCACTGTGCTATCACTCCAGCCCATATATATGTAATATAGATAGATAGATAGATAGATATAAAACATATATAGAAGCAGCCTGGTGGGTGGGAAGCAAATGGGGGTGGGGGTACTGGATGAGGGAAGTGGACACTGACTGGTGAAGGGATCCATGTTGAAACATTGTATGCCAGGGGCTGGAGCAATAGGACAGCGGGTAGGGCATTTGCCTTGCATGCGGCCAACCCGAGTTTGATTCCCAGCATCCCATATGGTCCCCTGAGCACCGCCAGGAGTAATTCTTGAATGCATGAGTCAGGAGTAACCCCTGTGCATAGAGCCAGGTATGACCCAAAAAGCAAAAAAAGAAGAAACATTGTATGCCTGAAACTCAATCATGATTAACTTTGTAATGTCTTGATGACTAAACAAAATAAAAACAAAACAAAGACACTTTAAAAGGTTTTATAAAGAGTAGGTGAAAAGAAAAAGAAAAAAGATGAATTTATCACTTTCAAATGGCAGTTTCTAAAAGACTATTAACATTAATGACCCTCTCGGAGAGCCCGGCAAGCTACCGAGAGTATTCGATATGCCAGACACAGTAACAACAAAGTCTCCAACGGAGACGTTACTGGGCCCGCTCGAGCAAATCGACGATCAACGGGAGGGCCTTTACCTTAACATTAATGAATGCTAACATATTAATCACTATGTAGTTCGTAAAGTACCATAAAGGGGCTGGAGCAATAGCACAGCGGGTAAGGTGTTTGCATTGCACGTGGCTGACCCCGGTTCGATTCCCAGCATCTCATATGGTCCCCTGAGCACTGCCAGGAGTAATTTCTGAGTGTAGTCAGGAGTAACCCCTGTGCAATGCCAGGTGTGATCCAGAAAGAAAAAAAAATCACCATCAAAGTAATTAAGAGCAGTAATGCGATTTTATCAGAGTATTTCGCTAATTTACGTGCTCGTAGACCCACATTTAGTGAAATATATCGTGATGTCTATTTTTAATTTTTTAACACTTACTTGTCAACAGAATGATGTTCTCTCTTTTCTCTGTTTTTTTTCTAAACAGAATGAGGAAGAAGTGCGGCGTCTCATCTGGGAAAAAAATCTGAAATATGTGACGCTTCACAATCTGGAGCATTCACTGGGCTTGCATTCCCACGACCTGGCCATGAACCACCTGGCAGATATGGTACGTCAGCCATGAGCCCCTCCTTCCTCTCAGGGTGGAGGACTGCTGCCTCCCCAGAGAATCTGAAGACAAACAGTAACGCAGGAACACTGTCTGTGGACGGACAGTAGCAAACGTCATCATTGGAGATAAGACTTGGGACAGATTCCTGATGAATCCTGCTCTGATGCTTTCCTTCACAAATTCCTTCTCAGATAATATTTCGAAACCAGACTACTGGGCCGGAGCAATAGCACAGCGGGTAGAGCGTTTGCCTTGCACGCAGCCAACATGGCCAACACAGGTTCGATTCCCAGCACCCCATATGGTCCCCTGAGCACCTCCAGGAGCAATTCCTGAGTGCATGAGCCAGGAGTAACCCCTGAGCATCGCCGGGTGTGACCCAAAAGGCAAAAAAAAAAAAAAAAAGACTACTAAAGCTTTTTTTTTTTTTGACTGCTCTTAGTTAAATGAGTCAAAAACTAATTTTTGACAATGCTAAGTGCCTGCTCACAACATTTTGGGAGTAAGTTGTCATATTTCTGGAAGTTTAAAGTGACAGTTTAATTATGGTCTCCCTGCTATCTTAATAGAGGAAAGAGGATTATTAGTATCATAAAGAAATTTCTTTTTTTTTTCTTTTCGGGTCACACCCAGAGATGCACAGGGTGTGACTCATGCACTCAGGAATTACTCCTGGCGGTGCTCAGGGGACCATATGGGATGCTGGGAATCGAACCCAGGTCAGTCGCATGCAAGGCAAATGCCCTACCCCTTTCCAGCCCCCAAATTTATTTTTTTTTAATAAAGAAATTTCCTTTGATTTTCTCTCCTCTTCCTTCATATCTCTCTCTCTCTCTCTCTCTCTCTCTCTCTCTCTCTCTCTCTCTCTCTCTATTTGTTTTTGGGTCACACCTATAACCCACACACTTAGGGGCCACTCCTAGCTCAGTGTTTCGGGATCTTTTCTGGGGCCGAAACAGGAGTGGAGTGGAGGGGATGACATGTGGTGTTGGGAACCAACCTGGGTTCCCCTTATGCAAAGCATGTGCTGCAACCCATTGAATGCTTAACTCTCAAGCTCCACTGAACCACTGTGCTAAAATTAAGAATCGTGGAACACCCTAAGACACCACAAATTAAATTCCTACTTAAATTACTTTGTAATTCTTTTTTTTTTTTTTTGGGTCATACCTAGCGATGCACAGGAGTTACTCCTGGCTCTGCACTCAGGAATTACCCCTGGCAGTGCTCAGGGGACCATATGGAGTGCTGGGAATTGAACCCGGGTCGGCTGTGTGCAAGGCAAACGCCCTACCCGCTGTGCTATTGCTCCAGTCCCTACTCTATAATTCTTTCTCACACAAAAAAAATCTCACTTCTTAGATAGTCCTTTATAAAATTCTGCATTGCTCTAAACCAAATATGTTTCCTTATAATACCTAGGTTATACCATTTTTGTAATTTCTTTATAACCCCCTTTTTTGGGGGGATGTGGGCCACACCCAGTGGTACTAAGGGCTTAATCTTGGTTCTCTGCTCAGGGACCAATACTGGTGGGGCTCAGGGGACCGTGTGGGGTACTGGGGATTGAACCCGGGTTGGTTGCGTGGGAGGCGAATGCACTACCCACTGTACTATCTCTCTGGCCCTTCATTTCCTTCTCAGTAAGAGTGTCTAACTGGAATGCCAGTACAAGATATGAGGCTAAGGACACCCAGATAATTCTCTAATAGTTAGCTAACACCCCTTGTGTTGATCACAAATACCACCAACTTCTCTGCTTAATATATTCACAGTGACTATGATTAGGACATTGAAAACGGGATACTAACAAAAGAAATCTGCGTTTGCCTCGTAGACCAGTGAAGAAGTGATGTCCTTGATGGGGTCCTTGAGAGTTCCCAGCCAGTGGCAGAGCAATGTGACTTACAAGTCAGTCTCTAATCAGGAACCGCCTGAGTACGTGGACTGGAGAGAAAAGGGTTGTGTGACTGAAGTGAAATACCAGGTAAGTCTTAGCACCCCGGGCCTCTCCACCCCGGGAAAAGCCAAGCTACAGAGTTTACGGTCTCTTACTTTCTAATTGTATGTGTGATTCTTGTCTCCCCAACTAAATTGTAAGTTCCTTGAGACCAAGGACCACGTGTTATATACTATATCTGTATTGCTCAAAGCACCTGTTAACCAATGGTTAGAGACAGATCACACAAGAGTTATGCACTAGGAGAACTGGTCTGTAATTTTATTTATTTTTTTATTGGTGTTTGGGTCACACCTAGCGATGCTCAGGGGTTGTTCCTGGCTCTGCACTCAAGAACTACTCCTGATGGTGCTTGGGGGACCATATGGGATGCCAGGGATCGAACCCGGGTTGGCCGTGTGCAAGGCAAACACCCTACCCGCTGTACTATCTCTCCAGCTCCCAGGTCTGTAATTTAAAATATATATATTTATTTAGGTATTTGGGCCACATTTGGCGGTGCTCAGGATTTACTCCTGGCTCTGCACTTAGGAATCACTCCTGGTGTGGTTCGGGGGATCACATGGGGTGCCAGGGATCAAGCCCGGGTTGGCCTGTGCAAATCAAGCACCCTACTTACTGTACTATCACTCAGGCCTTTCAGGCCCTGTAATCTAAAATCAGTGCTAGCTGGGTCCTTCGCCCAGCCAACTGTGTGTGACACAGTGTAGTAGGGGTGGAGGGGGAAACACAGCCAGGAACATTCCCCCATCTCATTCACTCCACTCTTCAGGGAAAGAAAGAAAGAACTAGAGTAGAGAGTGACTTATTTGCTATTAGTCAGGTTAATTCATTGGACAGGCTTATGTTGTTAGGATTAAGAAACGTGGGCTTTATAGTAGGGCGTTTGCCTTGCACACGGCCAACACGGCGGACCGGAGTTCGATTCCTCTGCTCCTCTCAGAGAGCCCGGCAAGCTACCAAGAGTATCTCGCCCGCACGGCAGAGCCTGGCAAGCTACCTGTGACGTATTCGAGATGCCAAACACAGTAACAAATCTCACAATGTTACTGGGCCTGCTTGAGCAAATCGATGAACAACGGGAGGACAGTGACAGTGACAGTTTTCTTTTTTTAATGCCGTTAGCTTATTTGTAGAAAAATATGGGAAGACACCCCCCCCTTCCTAAATTAGAGATAACTAAGTATAGCCTGTGTCTAGATCAAGAGCAGAAAAGAGAATCAATGTTCAGAGCAGCCGTCCAACCTGTGCTCAGTGAAGAATGGAAAAATGAAGAAATTATTGATGTTATTAAACTCATACTCTTTCCAATCTAAATATTTTCCTGTCAACAAGTTTTGGGTTTCTTATCAGAGCTGGGAAGATCAAATAAATGACATCCTTATAAGTTAATTATTAATAAACGAATGAGATCCATTCTCTCTGCAAACAGTTTAATGTGGTTTTGCTTTAACCAAAAACAAATTCAATGTGTTTCCTTTGAGCAAGGAGGGATGTGGAGGGTGTGGAAATGGGGATACCACACACACACACACACACACATACACACACACACACGATTATAATGGGACCTTGAACCCTTTCCATTTTTTTTTCCTTTTTGGGTCACTCCCAGCGATGCTCAGGGGTTATTCCTGGCTCGGCACTCAGGAATTACTCCTGACAGTACTGGAGAGACCAAATGAGATGCCGAGGATTGAACCTGGGTTGGCCACATGCAAGGCAAATGCCCTACCCACTGTACTAGCTCTCTGGTCTCTTGCCACCCTTTTTTTATTTTTATATCTTTTTAAAACTAAATCAGCTTTGTGGTTTTATTCTCTCAACTTCTTTGTAAAATATCTTTTGTTCAAAAGTTTCTGAAGCTAAGTTTTTTTTTTAATTACTAACCTTATTTTTGGGGCGCTATCTGGCAGTAGGAAGGGTAGATCAAGGAAACCATCCCAGCAGCCTCAAAATCAATTTCTTGTAAGCATCTCTTTCCATTCAATATAGGTGAAGTTGGTGAAGACAGTTGGGATTTGGTTTGTGTTCCTTAAGTCCTGTATCTATTTTTTCCTTTTCTCTTCCCTTCTTCTCTTTTTTTGTCCTTTTCTTTTGCTTTCATGGCCACACCCAGCAATAGTCACGGCTTACTCCCAGCTCTATGCTGAGGGACCACACCTGGTGGTGCTCAGAAAACCACATGTAGTGCCAGGGATCAAACCGGAGTTGGCTCAGAGCAGGGCTAGTGCCTTAAATCCCTGTACTCTCTCTGATTCCAGTAAAATTTCTTTTGTTTGTTTTTTTGGCCACACCTGGCAGTGCTCAGGACTTGCTGCTAGTTCTATGCTCATGGATCACTCCTGGAGGGGCTCAAGGGACCATATAGGATGTCAGGAATTGAATCACATGGTGGATCCAGTACACCATGTGCAAGGCAAGTGCCCTATCCAGTGTACCATCTCTCACCTTCCAGTAACACTTTTTTTAAAAAGATTTTTTATTAGTGAAACACCATGAGGTACAGTTATAGAATTACAAATTTTTGTGCTTGGGTTTCAGTTATACAATGATCAAGTACCCATCCCTCCACCAGTGCCCATCCTCCACCACCACGGGTCCCAGCATCCCCCCCCACCCCCCATCCCCCCGTCCCACCCTGCCTCTGTGGCAGGGCATTCCCCCTTGTTCTCTCTCTCTCTCTTCTTTTGGATCCTGTGTGTGTAAACTCACACAAAGGGGGCACGCGGCACTCACAGCGGCGGTAGCTCTATCTCTCCCGCCGCCCGCGTTCGATAGTCTCACCCTTCTCCCACCCCGGAGAGGTCGATGGTGATGGTCAGGTGGAGGAAGGAACGAGGACCAGGCTGGTAGGTATTAGTCGTAGTTTATTCTGATTCTCTCTTCATCTGTCTCTGCTCCCGTCTCTCTCTGTCTCTCCATGCTACTTCATTCTCCTTCTCCATCCCCCTTCATCCTCCTCTTCCTTCTGATCCTCTCTGAACATCCAGCCCACTCCTACAGTCTAGTTAAATCCTCTCTCCATGAGGAATTGGGGAAACAATTACACATAGGTGTGGTCACAATCAATAGGGGTAGAAATCAATAGGGGTAGAAATCTTAGCCTCAGGGAAGAACAGCTCCTAGGACAGATCCTTCCTAGAGGACGGACCCACCCAGAGCGGAATCCCAAGGGTGTGTCTCTCCTCTCCTTGTCCGACAAGCATATAAGAATATAATATAAATCATTTTGTATGGATACAGTAAGAAATATCTTAAACTCATAGAATTGCTCTCCTAGGGCCATCTCGATCTCAGACTATGGTGCTCAGGCCAGATAGTCTTTCCCACCCCTAGCAGGATCCTAGTCTTGTCGTTACCTTTGGATCATGACAGCATTTGTCTATGATCAAACTCTTAACTTATAGTTAAGAATCGTGGCACTTTGGCCTGGCCCATTTCGCTGCCAGGGTAGCTCACTGCTTGCCCTGGGTCCATTCAGTCCCTCGTCGGGACCCTGCTTTTGGGGTGTTAGGAACTAAGGGCAACTGAGGCTTAAGTCGAGAAAGCAGATGCCCGGGAGTGAATAATATTCAAGGCCAATCAAATCCTAAGTTACAAAGCATAATGTTAACGGTCTTCCTGTATCTATACAAAAAGGATATTACTTTAAGGTAAACTATTCATAAGGCATAAGGAGAGGAGAAAGGCAATATTTCACTCATACATATAAAATCATAGATTTCTGGGAAACTGACCTTACAAATTAACAAAGTCTGATTAAGGGGAAAGCTGATTAACTGGGTGGGAAGGAGAACATAGGGAAGACTGTTTACAGATAAACACAATGGAAGTGGAAGTGCTTCAGGAGCACTGTGATGGGTGTAACCAGATTAACCTAAGCTCCTTGTAGAAGGACAAAGCAATGTTACCCAACACTGTGTTTTGCAAGAGAGGCATTGAGTGGCAACCATGTTTGGTCAGTAACACTTTTTAATACATTTTATGTATTTATTTATGTTTTGGAGAACCATGGCTGTAGGTGCTCTAGGGCCACATATAGCAATGCCAGGGATCCATATGCTAACACGGGCTTCGAACCAGTGTCCGGGCTACAACTGCATCTAGAGCCTTACCCTCTGGACCGTGTCTGCCCTTCTCCATACATCTGAAGTGGCACATGTGACCTGAATGTAGCTGTTTGCGAATCTCTCTCAGTGTTGGGCCTGGCCCAGAGAACCCCCAGATAGTTAACCTTCCCTCCTATTGCCCAAAGACAGTGGGGACAGTGCTTCTCGGAACTGAGTGCCAGGCGGGCCTGTTGGGAGCCGCTGTTCGTGACTTTGTGACTGTGTGTCTGCTGCAGGGCTCGTGTGGTGCATGCTGGGCATTCAGCGCTGTCGGGGCTCTGGAGGCACAGCTGAAGCTGAAAACTGGGGTGCTGGTGTCGCTCAGTGCACAGAACCTGGTGGACTGCTCCAGCAAGGCAAAGTACGACAATAGAGGCTGCAACGGTGGCTTCATGACCCAGGCCTTCCAGTACATCATCGACAACAACGGCATTGACTCTGAGACATCCTACCCTTACAAGGCCATGGTGGGTCACATGCAATCATGTCTTTCTTTCTTTCTTTCTTTCTTTCTTTCTATCTTTCTTTCTTTCTTTCTCTCTCTCTCTCTCTCTCTCTCTCTCTCTCTCTCTCTCTCTCTCTCTCTTTCTGCTACCCATGAACTTGTGCTTCCCCTTGACCTACTACACGTAACTCAACACCAAGTCAACTGCTTGAGCAGCAAGACTGAGTGTACGAGAGAGCCCTGCTAGGAATTCTTAAATTCTTAGAGTTTTCTTTCATATGTATGAGCCTTCTTCATTTATTAGTAGCACAATAATTTTAAACAAGCAAGGAGAATTTATGCTTAAAAGTATATTTTGGGGGCTGGAGCAATAGCACAGCAGGTAGAGCATTTGCCTTGCACGTGGTCGGCCCAGGTTCAATTCCCAACATCCCATATGGTCCCCTGAGCACCGCCACGAGTAATTCCTGAGTGCAGAGCCAGGAGTAACCCCTGTGTATCGCCGGCTGTGACCCAAAAAGAAAAAAAAAAGTACATTTCGGTGATCTGGAGATAGTACATGACTTAACTTGCATGTGGCCAACCCATGTTCAGTCATTATTATGGTATATGGATGGTTCCCTCAAACCCTGCCAGGAGGGTGTCTGAGCACAGAACCAGGAATAAGCTTGAAGAACAACTGGGTGTGTCCCCTAAAACAAAGTGAAAGTAATAAAAATCTTAATGTAAAATTTTCATTACTTTAGGGGAAACTGGAGAGACAGTTTGGGGGTTAAGGTACTTGCTTTGCAAGCACTGGATGTAATTGGGTTGGACTGGATTGCCCAATTGGATTGGATTGGATCTCCAGCACTGTCAAGAGTGATACTGAGCACAGAACCACAGAACCAGGAGCAACCTCTGAGCACAGCTGGGTATAGCCCACCTCCCCCACCCACAAAAGGATTTTCCAGCAAATTTTCCTTAAAATTTTTCAGTCTGCCTTTTTCTTTTTTTTTTTTCTTTTTGAGTCACACCCGGTGATGCACAGGGGTTATTCCTGGCTCATGCACTCAGGAATTACCCCTGGCAGTGCTCAGGGGACCATATGGGATGCTGGGAATCGAACCCCGGTCGGCTGCGTTCAAGGCAAACGCCCTACCCGCTGTGCTATCTCTCCAGCCCCAGTCTGCCTTTTTCAAATTTAGTCCTTGAGTTTTATTTATTTATTAAGATTTAATTTAAACTTTAGTCCTTTAGGGCTGGAGCAATAGCACAGTGGGTAGGGCGTTTGCCTTGCACGCAGCCGACCCAGGTTCGATTCCCAGCATCCCATATGGTCCCCTGAGCACTGCCAGGGGTGATTTCTGAGTGCAGAGCCAGGAGTAATCCCTGTGCATCGCCAGGTGTGACCCAAAAAAGCAAATAAATAAATAAATAAACTTTAGTCCTTTAGTCCTATAAGATTCTCAATCTTATTCTAAGCTCATCAAACACATCATTATTTTACTACAAAAGGCTAGATCATGACCTCTTACTCCTTGAAAGAGCCCTACATATTTTCTTTAAAGATATAAACAGAGACCAGAACTGTAGTACACAGGTAGGGCATTTGCCTTGCATGCGGCCCACCTAAGTTCAATCTCTGTCACCACGTATCTCCTGAGCACTGTCAAGAATGATCCCTGAGATCAGAGTCAGGAGTAAATCCTGAGCATCACTGGGTATAGTCCAAAACCCAAAAAGGAAAAAAAAAAGATACAAATAATATATTCATTTTGCAGAAGATTTAGGAATGATATTGTCACTCAAAAACCTCCTAATATTATCATTATTGTTTGGGTTTATTTCTTTTAAGTTCTTTTTTCTATTAAGCAGATTATAAAACATAGTTGCATATACAACAAATTTGTATAAATTCGTTACTTCCCCTTTCCACTTAAAATACGTGGGCTTCGGGGGCCGGAGTGATAGCACAGCGGGTAGGGCATTTGCCTTGCACGCGGACGACCTGGGTTCAATCCCCGGCATCCCATATGATCCCCCAAGCACCTCCAGGAGTAATTCCTGAGTGCAGAGCCAGGAATAACCCCTGAGCATCGCTGGGTGTGACCCAAAAAGCAAAAAAAAAAAAAAAATACATGGGCTTCCATATTACATTGCCTTTATAAATCATCTGACCACAGATCATTTAACAAGCATTCTATCAACAAAAAGAGTTTTCGAGATCCAGACTGGAATCACAGTCTTTCTGTCACATCCCCCTACACTCCACCTCCTGTTCTAAGAACCATCATCACTGCAACTATGGCAGATATGAAGATGTTCACAACCTAAGGAAGTAAGCTAGTTTTATATTTTCTCTGTCATTGCTGAAACATAGAACTTGGAGTGTTTGGATGTTTGCTTTCTTGTTTCTTTAAAAGGAGGGAAAACAAGCACTGCCAGGAATAATTCCTGATGCAGAGCCAGGAGTAACCCTTGAACAACACTGGGTGTGACTCAAAAGAAAAAATAAATAAATAAAAAACACCAAAAAAAGGAAGGAGGAACTTTAGACCTTTGAAAAGGCCAAATAAGGAAAGGAAACACATTTGAAATCTTGGAGTAGTCTATGATTTATAATCACGAATCACGACCATCCTGTTATTCGTCGATTGCCTCGAGCAGGCCCCAGTAACGTCTCCTTCATCCTAGCCCTGAGATTTTTAAGAAAGTGCCATATTCAAGGCTCTTTAGGAGAATGAGACCCATCATTGTTACTGGTATTTGGCATATTGGGGACGCCACGGGGAGTTTGCCAGACTTGTAAAGGATTTATAAAGGAAGTGGAAATATAATTTTATCTAATATATATGTCTGCGTATATATGTATTTATATATATATAATTTTTTAACAGGATGGAAAGTGCAAGTATGACTCAAAAAATCGAGCTGCCACGTGTTCAAAATATGTTGAGCTTCCCTTTGGCAGGGAGGACATCCTGAAGGAAGCAGTGGCCTACAAAGGGCCTGTGTCTGTTGCCATCGATGCGAGGCACCCTTCCTTCTTCCTCTACAAAAGCGGTAATGCCCAGAGAAGGTCCCCGTGCTGTCTGCCCCCTGACTCTGTTACAAAGGCTATCACCCTTCCCATGTGGAGTTTAAATCCAACAGAATTCTCCTTTTTTTTTTTTCAATCAACTATTGAACACACCTCAATTCATCAACAATAGTTGTCAAAGCTTACTAACGTTAATGCCAGTTCCTATAATGAATTCTTCCTGTCCACTATCTGCTGTAATCCTCACAGTCGACCTACTTTGCAAGTTAAAAAAGCAAAATCTTAAAAGAGTTATTTGCCTGAGGTCTAAAAGTAGTCCGCTGGGATTAGAAAATGCTGTTTGGCTCTCATCCCATCCTGTGTACCTCGCCCAGAAGCCACTGTCTCAAGAGTCTGACAGGGCACGGAAGGGCATCACTGAAGGCCAAACATTGTGTTAAACACAGTGGAAGGCTCTTGTCTTTTGGGGCAGGGGGCAGGGGGCTGGGACTATATCCAGTGGCACTCAGGCAAGTGCCCAACCCCTGTATTATCTCTCCAGCATCTGATGTATTTTTCTTTACTTTTTTTTCTTTCTTTCATTTTTGTTTTATGGGCCACACCCAGGGGTGCCCAGGAATCATTCCTGGTCGGGGCTCAGGGGACCCTTTGGGGTGCCGAGGAAACAAATTCAGAGAAACAATTGCCCTACTCACTGGACTACTGCTCCAGCCTCATCATATTCTTTTAATTCTCACCTTAATGATTATTTAATTTAGTAAAGGATGAAAATGCAATAGCAAACAATTGAGGAATGAATATATCAAAGAAATACAGTAACTGGCACTCTATAAGTCAAAAAGAAAAAGACAATGGTTTGTCAAAGATTTGTCAGAAAACTAGGGTTCAATGCCAAATATGGCAAGAAAGGACAAAGATAACACTTCTCGCAAATCTATGAGCCTTGAATACTTCATATATGAGGCTGGAAGATGCAACCATTTTAATCTGCAGTACAGTCTAATAAACAGTCTGATCAAAGTAACGACATTTCCAACTCCTTCATGACCCCGTGCCATTCACTGCTTTTCTCTGCCCTGTGCTGGCTTGCAGGTGTCTACTATGACAGGTCCTGCACCGGGAAAGTGAATCATGCTGTACTTGTGGTCGGCTACGGCAACCTGAATGGGAAAGATTACTGGCTTGTAAAAAACAGGTAATATTTTTATCCTTTACTGTACATTTGATTAAGATTTAAAGAATTCGAAGCAAATACTTCCTTGCGATGATGACGATGAACTTGACGATGATAAGCATTGATATACTCTCAGAAGGATTATTCCAAATTACCCAGTGCCCCGTTTTGTTACTTCCCATCTGCCTTCAGCACTTACTTTTCATGATTTATCTGCAGAGCACTACACTGCTAATTCCTTCTCGGCACCTCTTATTTCTATATGTTGTGATTTTTCCTTCAGGACTCCCGCCTCTATCTGTTATTCTTCATCTTTTTGTGTTTTTGTTTGCTTTTGAGCCTGACCTGATGGTGCTCAGAGCTTATTCCTGACTCTCTGCTCACTGAGGGATCACTCCTGGCAGGGCTTGGGGGACCAGGTGGGTGTGTCAGGGATCAAACCAGTCAGCTGTGTACAGGCAAGCACCCTCTCTGCTATATCACTCCAGCCCTTATTACTCTCCATTTTTTGCAGGGGCGGCTGGGGAGTTCTGTAAGCATGTTTAGGAGGTCCAAGGGTCACTTCAGGTGCTATTCTACCAACTAGACCTGACAGTTCAGTGGTAGGACCCAGTGATGGATATTATGGGCAATACCCGGGTGCCTCTAGGGCCCATGTGGGTGCCAGGGATCGAACTTGGGGCCTGATCATTCAAGACCTCTGACCCCTCAGCTGTCTTACCTACTCCCCTGCCCCTAATTTACTCTTCTTATCCTACATTTTGTTCTGGCATCATGATTTCATTGTTACTATAACTCCTAAATTGAAATTTTCAAATCTCTGGCTCTCACTTTGCTTTCTTTCCTGCTCTTCAGACTGAATTACCTGGTTATATTCTCACATATGTATGTTAGAATGTTTGAGGAATTCAATATCTTATGAGTCCGACTCTGGGGTGGAGCGATAGCACAGCGGGTAGGGTGTTTGCCTTGCAAGCAGCCAACATGGTCAACCCGAGTTCAATTCCTCCGCCCCTCTCGGAGAGCCCGGCAAGCTACCAAGAGTATCTTGCCTGCATGGCAAAGCCTGGCAAGCCACCCGTGGCATATTCGATATGCCAAACACAGTAACAGTTGTCACAATGGAGACGTTACTGGGCCCACTCGAGCAAATTGATGAACAACGGGAAGGCAGTGACAGTGATGGGTCCTACTCTAGAACTCGGGAACGTGGAAAGCAAATGCTCTTCCATTTACTAGCTCTCCAGCCCCTACATGATCTAAATTTTAAGAGGATACTTTCATGGGGGAGTTGAGAATGGAACTAAATTCAGAGCAAGACCATTAAGAATAGGACAGAGATGCCAGGAGTAGCCCCAGAGCCAGGAGTATACATGGAGCACTGCTAGGTGTGACCCAAAAAAAAAAACAGAAACAAAAAAAATGGAAAAAAATATTTTTAAAAAGTATTATGACCCAAAGGCCAAGTTGACATGCTCTGTGGATTGAAGAGGAAAGGTTATAAAGATAATCTGATGATTGTGATGTTGTTATCCAAAAAGGAAATAATACCACCCCCCCTTGAATTTATTTTAAAATTCTTTTCAGGAATGTGATAGAAGTAGAGCTGGAAAGAAAGGAAATATGATGTAAGAGTTGCTGAGGAGAGAGTGAGCATATGAGGAAGAGAGAAAGAGAGAGGGAGGGAAGGGAAGAGAGGGGAGGAGCAAGAGAGAATGATGGAGAAAAGTTGGGATGTAGTCGGGTAGGTTGGGGATAGGATTAGGATTTTTCTTTTTTCTTTTTCCTTTTTTTTAAATGTAGGAGTACTGCTATTTATTCAGCCACTGATTAAGCTGATTGAATTGGCCATGAACTCCATATTACTTTTTTTTTATTGAATCACCGTGAGATACAGTTACAAAACTTTCATGTTCGAAATTCAGCTGTACAATGATTGAACACCCCTCCCTCCACCAGTGCACACATTCCACCACCAGTGTCCCCAGTATTCCCCACCACCACCACCATCCCAGTCCTCACCCTGCCTCCATGGCAGGCAATTTCCCCAATACTCTCTCTCTGCTTTTGGGCATTATGTTTTCTCGAATTTTCCTGTCACCACTCAAGCCTGCCTGCCAAGGGCAGATGCTAGATCATTTATTGTCCATTACTCATTTTGAATATCATGGGTCCCACGGCTGCACGCTTCTGGAATCCTAGATTGTAAATGGTTGGGTTCCAGAGACATTTCTGTGGGGCACTAATCTATTTTGGGATTCAACCGGGCATCTCTCACCAGGGCTGATGGTGCGCTAAAATAGCGCTTGGAGGCATATTGTGGGGGTGATAGCCAGGCTGACCAGCGGGTGTGGAGCCAGGGAGGGACAGTCTGGCGCCTCTGCCACTATGCAGCCTGGAGATTTAGTCTGGAACCTGCATACCTGGGCCTTGCTTGTGGAAGCTCTTGGTCTCCAGGATTCCATCTGGAGAGTGCACCTACTCCATCTGAGGTGACCCAGTGAAATTGGCTCGGTATGAGACCTGGAGGGATCTCCAGTTCTGTGGTGTATTCTGGTACTCACTGCTGTATCTCTGACTTTTGATCTCTTTCGAGATTATTTATGGGCTTCTGAAGCAAGGCCAGTAATAGAATTACAGGGTGACACTGGAGTTGGTTCGTGGGGTTACTGCCAGTGCTACCATATGTATTGGGAAGTGGGGGGAGGTAGCCTACCCCAACTCCGTGAAAGCTTGGAGATTTTAGTCACAAATCCAAATTTTTAGCAGATTATATCCTGATGAGGTCTGTCCTGAGACGGTAGAGTCAGGTCAGGGGTCTGGCAGCATTTTTGGATTGTGAAAGCAAGCGGCTGCTGGGGGCTCTGCTTGGGCAGGCACAGGCCAACCTGCCCCCCTCTGATTTACCCCAGTCTGTTCAGCCATGCACGGGTCTGAGATTAACTGTGGCTTTTAGTCTCTTTCGAGATTTATCTAGGGGTCTCTGAAATAAGGCCAGTATAGGGGCTTGTATCGCTGAGTCAGAGGTGGTTTGTGGGCATGGCCGTTAAATTTCTTGGTAAACTTGGTCCCAAGTTGTGGGGTCTGGCCAAAGACACAGTGGCAATTTTGGGGTGTCAGGAAGCCTGAAGGCACCATCAGGCTGCTGATGCACTCTCCCCGCAGGTACAGGTTGACCTGTTGGTGGCATCATACCCCGTGAGATTCGGGTTTTTCAAGCAGTTGTCAAATTGGAAGTTGGATGTGGAAGTCAGTAGTTTAACAGGTTAGTTAGCAGAGCGGTTACTTAACAGAGAGGTGATTTAGCAGAAAGGCTATTTTTAGAAATTGTGAACTAATTTTCATCCACATAATAGCAATAGATGAAACTTATGGAATAGATGAGATTTGATAGAGAAAATTAAGGTAGAAAAAAAATTAAAGAAATAAGGCTTTAGCTGACATAGCAAAGTGAATCAGGACAATGTTGTCACAGAGGTCACAGGAATAATTGCGGTAAAGGGGGCTGGATCAATAATACAGCAGGGAGGGTGTTTGCTTTGCACTCAGTCTACATGGGGTTGATCCCTGGCATCCCATATGGCATCCATATGGTCCCCCAAGCACCACCAGGATAAATCTCTGAGCCTAGAGCAAGGAGTAAGTTTGAGCACCACTAGGTGTGCCCCTACACACACTGAAAGAAAGAAAGAAAGAAAGAAAGAAAGAAAGAAAGAAAGAAAGAAAGAAGAAAGTTCATTATTTGAAAGTCTTACATTTCATGTCATCTTTATAATAGTATCAAAATTTCATTTTGGTATAAATGATGCAGTGAGGTTTTTCTATTTGAGAAGCTACCATGCTGTTGCTGTCACTTCACTGTACTGTACTGTCAATCGTGTATGAGGGGCTGAAGTGACAGTACAGTACAGTGAAGTGACAGCAACAATTGGTTGCACACAGCCAACCCTGCTTCGATCCTTGTCATCCCCTATGATCTCCTGAGAACTACTAGGAGTAATCTCTGAGCAGAGTCAGAAGTAAGCCCTGAGTACCACCAGTAGTCCCAAAAATCAAAAACAAAAAATTAAAAAAGAAACATATGAGGGTTCCATTTTCTTCACACCTTTCCTGGCTCTTTGTTTTGTTTTGTTTTGATTTGTTTGCTTTTTGGGTCTCACCTAGCGATGCTCAGGGGTTACTCCTGGCTCTGCACTCAGGAATTACTCCTGGTGGTGCTCAGGGGACCAACTGGGATACCAGGAATTGAACCCAAATCGGCCTGTGCAAGGCAAATGCTCTACCCACTATACTATCCCTCCGGGCCCTTGTTTGTTTTTTAAATAAATCATTTTCACAGGTGTAAGATCATCTTATTTAATTTTAATTTGCATTTCCTTGAATTTAAGCAATGATGAGCATTTTTTGTTTGTTTGGGGGCATACTCAGTGGTACTCAGGGCTTATTCCTGGCTCTATACTCAGGGATCAGTCATTCCTGCAATGCTCAGGGGATCATATGCAGTGCCACAGATCAAAGCAGTGTTAGTCACATGCCAGGCAAGTGTCTTAATTCCTGTACCAGATGATAAGCATTTTTTTAATGGGCCTGTTGATTGTATGTTTTTGCAAAAAAAATGTTTGTTCATCTCTTCTGCACATTTTTTCATGGAATTACTTTTTTCCTCCTTGAGTTTATGAGTCTGTTAAGTATTTTAGATATTACGACCTCTTGTTGGATGTACTTATTTTCTCCCATTTAGTATCTTTTTAGTTTTGAGGCAGTTTTCTTTCCCCATGCGGCTGTGTGCTCTAGGAATTCTAGCACTGTAGCACTGTCCTCCCGTTGTTCATCAATTTGCTCGAGTGGGCACCAGTAACATCTCCACTTTGAGACTTACTGTTACTGTTTTTGGCATATTGGATAGGTCACGGGGAGCTTACCAGGCTCCGCCATGTAGGCAGGATACTCTCGGTAGCTTGCTAGGCTCTCTGAGAGGGATAGAGGAATCAAACCTGGGTTGGTTGCATACAAGGCAAACGCCCTACCCGCTGTGCTATTTTAATACTTAGGTTCTGAAGAAATCACTGTAGGAAGTTGCTGTGGTCCGAGATTCGTTTGTGTGTCTCTGGATGGTGGCTGTGTGGGAGCTTAAGTAGACAGTGGGTGGATGTGGTGTCATCTCTGCGTCCCATCAGGGCAGGGGAGTGGGGGAGGAGGACCCACTCCTCCCCTGTCCCACAAGACTTGGGATTTGCCATCACTGTGACTCGTACCTGAAGCTTCTTGCTGGCTTCTAGAAAATGACAGCCGTTGGGGCACCTAGAGGCACACGGAAGGACAACACCTGCCCCCATCTAGAACAGCCCAGCGGAGAAGGCCTATTACAAAGTCCCGGGCCATCTCTGCTGCAAGTTGCTCGGGTCCGAGATTCATTTGTGTGTCTCTGTTTCTTAAATTTTTAAATTTTATTTTCATAAAGTTGTTCACAATAATTTACATTTAATATTTCAACACCAATCCCACCACCATTGCACCTTCTCACCAGCTCTACTTTGAATCTTCCTACCACCTTAGACAGATGATAAACAATTTATTTTGTATTGCTTGTCATAAATAGTATGAGATATCAAATGGCCACAAAAGTGGCTGCACTCCTGGGATTCTAAAATTTTTCAATATTTGGCTTCCAAAGGCAAACAAGGGTTTTTTCCCATTTGCATTTTTAGTATTTTGTGTAGGACTGGTTTAGTGAAGATCAATTCCTTTGTCATTTTTATTTGAAGCTTTTTAAGTTCATAACACTTCTTCGAATCTCTAGGATAATCTAGTTGTGTAGAATACTCTTGGTTGGGGCTCTTTGCCATCAAATACTTGGAATGTATCATTCCCGTTCCTTTCTGACCCATTCGGTTTCTGAGAAATCTGCTGAAATTCTTATGGCGTTCCTTATATATGAATTTTTTCCTTTTTTCTTGCCACTTTATTTTCTTGGGGGTTAGGTTCTGGGGTCCCACCCAGAAGTGCTCACATCTCATTACTGGATCTGTGCTCAGGGATCACTCCTTGCAGTACTCAGGGGATTATATGTGGTATTGGACATTGAACTGGGGTTAGCCACATGCAAAGCAAGCACCTTAATCTCTGTAATCTCTGTACTATCTTTCTGGACTGTCTCTTGCTGTTTTAAGAATTCTTTCACTGTATTAGATTTTTGCCATTTTTATTATAATGTCTTGAGGTGAATTTGTTTTGTTTTGTTGTTTTTTAGAAAAAAAAAGAAAGGGAGAAATTAAATATAAAACACAGATTAATGAGTTGTGGAGGTCCCATTGTCCTGCACATAGGATAATTTTAGCCTGGGGTTGAAGTTAAAGGGGTTTACCTTAAAACCTTAGACACATAAAATTAAATGGACTTACTTTAGAATCTTCAACACAGACACACTCAAAAAATTAAGAAAACAACAGGACACCTTTAAGCACTATCTGGTGAACTAAGACAAATTGTTCAAAATAGATGAGGCTCTATCTCACTCATGTGGTATAAAGAAACAGAGAGGGTTTAGAATGAAGAAAGCCCTGAGTCACAGTCAATAGAAGAGAGGCCTGCTGAAATGATAGTTTCGTGGGGAGGGTGTTGACCTGGTTCTATCCCTGGCACCACATATGTACCCATATGACCACCTGAGCACAGGGCCAGGAATAAGCCTGAGTACTGCCAGGTGAGACCCAAAAACCAAACACACAACAACAAAATAGAATGGGGGAACTGAGGAAGGAAAAGGGTCTGTGGTATAGTGGCAGCCGAGCCTTAGCTCACTGGTGGAGGGACTAAGTAGCAGTACTTCCACTCCAAATCAATGACTTCGATACTATTGTGTACTCTGATACCACCTCAATTCGAAAAGAAAAAAGATGTGGGCCTCCAGGTCAAGAAGGTTAACAGATTGATGATTAGACCTTGTATTAAATTACCTCTATTCATCAATGTGGCACTAAAGTCTCCTAACCTAGTCTTTGAAAACTATCTAAAAGGCCTGGGGAAATTTTTGTAATTTTTGGTTCTAATTTTATTGTATGTTGTTTCATAGGTAATCCATTTAGGAGAAAAGTGATCCAAAGAAAAAAATGATTATAAGATTTGATTGTAATAATTTTGTGTGTGTGTGTTATTTCTTTTTCTAAAGCTGGGGCCTCAACTTTGGTGACCGAGGATATATTCGAATGGCAAGAAATAGTGGAAATCATTGTGGGATTGCTAGCTATCCGTCTTACCCGGAAATCTAGAAGATCTCTTCATTTGTAGCAAGTCACGAAAAACAAAACAACTCCTCGGCTTCATTTTATCTGCTGCAATCATTAGAAATAAGTGGACCATATATCCTTACTGAACTACAGAACAATGTTTGATTTTTGTACTTTCTTTAACTTTGTAGCTCTTGAGGGACAGTAGATGAAGTGAACTAATAATGTGCCCTAGATATAACTAAATGATAAGTCCAAGACAATCTGTCACTGTAAATTTTTACCTTCTGTTTTTTAAAGTCACCTGATGTTATTTTGTAATTTGATGGCTTAATAAATCTTTTTTTGTATCATGGTCTCCTGCCATTCTTTTCTTACTCTTCAATCACTGACTACAATCTATCATGAGGATATAAACTAAATAATGCTGGTGATGGACTTGATGACTTTGGAAACACTATTTGATTATAAATATCCTGAGATCTCAGAGTTTATCTTTGTGAATAAATAAATTCAATATTTTTCTTTTTTAAAGAAATAAAAATTGTTAAATGATGTCAACATGTATACATATATAAGGCCAACCCATTTTCAAGCATTTTGAAAGAATTATTTTAATGTTTGACAATTAATGCACCAATTCTTTTGTTTTTGTTTTTGGTCCATATCTGGCAATGCTTAGGACTTACTCCTGGCTCTGTGCTTAGGGATCATTCCTGGTGGTGCCTGGTGGGGGCCATATGAGTTGCCAGGGATCAAACCTAGGTCAACAAACACTTTATCTGCTATACTATTCCTTCACCTCCTCCTCCAATTATTTTTATCTAATTATTAACTATGTGATCTGGACCTTTACATGACAAATAATTACGTCATCCTTAACAAATGGGGCCAGAGTGATAGTACAGCAGGTAGTACACTTGCGTTCATGCAGCTAACCGGGGTTGGATCTCTGACACCCCATATGGTGCTCTAAGCACAGAAATAGCAGTAAACCATTGCTGGGTGTGGCCCCAAAACAAAACAAAACAAAACAAAACAATAAAACAATAAAAACAGCCAAGGAGACAGAAAAATGTACAGTGGATAAGGCACTTGACTTGCACATAGCTAACATAGGGTTCCCCAAACTCTGCCAGGCTTAATACCTGAGCACAGAGCCAAGAGTAAACCCTGAGTATCACTGAATGTGACTTCCAAACCAAACAACAGTATTTATTTTCAAAGTTTTCACTGGGTAGGAGATAGCCCAGTCATGAGAATACATACGAGGCATGCACCTGACTGGTTTCATTTCCATCAGCACATGGTCCCAGCAAAGCTAAATCAGCCCTGGAGGCCCCAGAATGTGGTCCTAGAGGGCTCCAGAATTTCCAGTATAACCCAGGTACCCCTGGCACTACAGTGTCTGTAATGCACGACATCCTTAGGCCCTTGATTGAGTAACCAGCTAAGTTGACTGAGAATCAACAGTGATATCCTGAGCACTGCTTAGAAGGTCCCCCAAATAATAATAAATACACGTTTCATTACTCACATTTTAAGTCGAATTCAGGTTTGGTTTACAACTGCTCTAGGTTAATAGATGGATTCTAAAGAGTCAATAGGAACTTTAATTTTATTTATTTGGGGGCGGGAGGGGGGCGGGAAATGGCATGTAGGGAGTGACCAGGACTCAGCTCACGGTTAGGGACATGCTTCGACTCCCAGAGCCATGTTACCAGCACAGGAATGTTGGGTTTTACACTTAAGTTTCTGTCTATGATGTGAAGAATGTGTGTGTGTTAAACTGAACTTAAAAATAATTTTACTGGGCCAGAGCAATAGTACAGTGGGTGTTTGCCTTGCACGCGGCTGACCCAGGTTTGATCCCTAGCCCCCCATATGGTCACCAGAGCCCTCCAAGAGTGACTCCTGGGAATATCTCAGAAAACAAAGGAAAAAATAATAAAAAGAATTGCTTTATCTGGACTCACAGATTCGTGAAGAATTTATGGCTAGAATTCAGAGAATTTGTGAATTTTATGGGAAGGGGGAAAATGACAACCTTATTTTCAGTGACCTGTAACTGAAAGTTAGCAATTTTTTCAATACTAAATTCAGACCAATATTTTTAATGTTATGGGAGGACAGTGCTACAGTGCTACGACAGTAATATTACCTCTAGCTTTACCACTTAAAAAAACAGAGACATATTCATATTAAACTACAAGGTGAGGTTTTGATTTTGTCTTTTTTTTTAGTTTTGAGGTCACACCCAGCAATGCTCGGGGTTATTCCTGGCTCTGTGCTCAGTAATCACTTTTTGTGATGCTTGGAGAACCATATGGTATGCCAGGAATCAAACCCAGGTCAGCTGCGTGCAAGGCAAATGCCCTCCCTGCTGTGCTATCACTCTTGTCCAGAAAACTACAAATTTTTCTATTAAAAATATTCATCACTAACATTCTTCAAAGAAATGGAGCACATACTCCTGAAATTCGTATGGAACAATAAGTCCCCACGAATAGCTAAAGCAATTCTTGGGAAAAAGAAAATGGGAGGAATCAACCTCCTTAACTTCAAACTCTACTACAAAGCAGTAATAATTAAAACAGCATGGAACAAAGGAAGAGCTGCAGACCAATGGAACAGCGTTGAATATACTGACATCTCCCCCCAAACATATGATCATTTAATCTTTAATAAGGGAGCAAGAAATGTGAAATGGAGCAAGAAAAGCCTCTTTAACAAATTGTGCTGGCAAAACTAGACAGCTACATGCAAAAAAATGGGCTCAGATCTCTGCCTAACACCATGTACAAAAGTAAGATCAAAATGGATTAAAGACCTCAACATCAGACCGGAATCCATAAGGTACATTGAAGACAAAGTTGGCAAAACCCTCCATGACATTGAAGCAAACAGTATTTTCAAAGATGTCACACCACTGGCCAAGCAATAGACAAATGGGACTATCTTAAACTAAGAAGCTTCTGCACCTCAAAAGAAACAGTGACCAAAATACAGAGACAGTCTACAGAATGGGAAAGGATATTCGCCAACTACACATCTGGTAAAGGGTTAATTTCAAGGATATACAAAGTACTGGTTGAACTCCAACAAGAAGAAAACAACATCCAACCCCATCAAAAAATGAGGCGACGAAATGAACAGAAATTTTCTCAAAGAAGGAATCCAAAAGGCAAAAAGGCACATGAGAAAATGCTCTACATCATTAATCATCAGGGAGATGCAGATCAAAACAACAATGAGATATCATCTCACACCACAGAGACTGACCCACATCCAAAAGAACAAAAGCAACCAGTGTTGGCGTAGATGTGGCAAGAAAGGGACCCTCCTTCACTACTGGTAGGAATGCTGAATGGTTCAGCCCTTTTGGAAAACAGTATGGACAATTCTCAAAAAACTAGAAATTGAGCTCCCATTTGACCAAGCAATACCATTCCTGTGAATATATCCCAAAGAGGCAAAAAAAGTATAGTTGAAGTGACATCTGCACTTGTTTGTTCATTGCAGCACTGTTTACAATAGCCAGAATCTGGAAAAATCATGAGTGCACAAGAACAGATGGCTGGTTAAAGAAACTTTGGTACATCTACACAATGGAGTACTATGTAGCTGTTAGAAAAGATGAAGTCATGAATTTATATACAAGTGGTACTACATGGAAAGTATGATGCTAAGAGAAATGGGTCAGAAAGAAAGGGATAGATATAGAAAGATTGCATTCATCTGGGGAACATAAAGAAACAAAATAGAAGACTAACACCCAAGAATAGCCGAGATAATTACCAGGAGTTTCACTCCATGGCTCGGAGGCCAGCTGCACATGCTAGGGGAAATGGCAGCTCAGATAGAGAAGGGAGCACCAAATAAAGGGTGTTGGGAGGATCCTCCCAGGTTGGGAGATGCGTGATGAGAGTAGACTATAGTCTGAACAAGATTGCCACTCAATGTCTCTTTTGCAAACCACAGCACCCAAAAGGAGAGAGAGAACAAAAGGGAATGCCCTACCACAGAGGCAGGGTGGGATGGGGGATTGGGGGGTGGGAGGAATACTGGGATTGGTGGGAGTGGAGAACGGGCACTGGTGGAGGGATGAGCACTTGATCATTGTATAACTGAAACCCAAGCACAGATATTTGTAAGTCTACAACTGTACCTCGTGGTGTTTCACTAATAAAATTTTTTTTAAATATTCATCACTATAAGTTATTTTAATGCCTTTTTAAAGAAATTATATTGCTTCTAGCATAAATTACTTTTTAAAACATTTTAATAACTATGTCAATCTAATTGACTGCCTTTATTATCCTATGTATGTTAGTTTATGCATCCAAAAATTATTCTGAGGGACTGGAAAGGGGTTAGGGCACTTGTCTTAAATGTGACCAACCCTAATTCAATCCCCAGCACTTCCATAATAATTCCTTAGCACAGCCTGGTGTGATCCCAAAACAAACAAACTTCTTATGTGCCCATAGGCTTCAAAAGACAGACAGAGGTTAAGAACCCATGATTTCAGGGATCAGGCAGATATTCAACAGAGTGGAATACTTGCTCTGCACGTGAGAGGCCTAAATTAGAACCCCTACAGTGCCAGGAACAACTCAGAGTACCAGTGCTGGAAGTGGCCCCTGAGCATAGCTAGATGTGGTCCAAACACAAAAACTAGGCAATACTTTTTTCTTCCTCCAAGATTTTTGTTTTTACAGGACTTGAAAAAGTGTGTGGGGGGGTGGGTGGGGGGGTTAGGGGTAGAGCAATAGTACAGTGTGTAGGGAGTTTGCCTTGCACCTGGGTTCGATCCCCCACATCCCATATGGTCCCTCTAGCACTGCCAGGAGTGATGAGTGCAGAGCCAGGAGTAACTCCTGAGCATGAGTGTGACCCAAAAGAGTGTGTGTGTGTGTGTGTGGGGGGGGTAGCCAGAGAGATAGTACAGCTAGTAGGGCACTTGCCTTGCATGTGCCCAATCCAAGTTCCATCCCTGATCACATCTGGTCTCCTGAGTCCACAAGGAGTGATCCCTGAGCATAGCCAGGAGCAAGACCAAGGCATCGCAATGGGAGGGCCCCTCCAAAAACAAACAAACAAAAATTGTGGACAAGAGAAACATTTGTTAAAAATAAAAATAAGAGGCTGGAGCAATAGCACAGCGGGTAGGGCGTTTGCCTTGCATGTGGCCAACCCGGGTTCGATTCCCAGCTTCCCATATGGTCCTCTGAGCACCACCAGGAGTAATTCCTGAGTGCAGAGCCAGGAGTAACCTTGAGCATTGCCGGGTATGACCCAAAAAGCAAAAATTAAATAAATAAATAAAATAAAAATTAACAGATAATTTTTAAA